TGCCTTACATTTTTAAATTATTAAATATGTTTAAGATATCTTTGTCTGCCCACAGATCTTTTTCTTAAAATTTTGTCTTCTAGGTGAGGCTTTCTAGTCGTACCTTTAACATTTAGATCTGTGGTCCATCTCACACTAATTTGCTTGTTGATGTGCTGCCTGGGTCATAGTTCATTTCTGTTTTCATAAAGATCCTAGTAACTCAAGCACTGTTTATTGAAAAGACCTGCATATCTCCCTGTGGATTTGGAATGCAGCCTTTGCTGTAACCATATTACTATGTGTGTGATGATCTCACTCTAGAATATTCTGCTCCTTGTTTATTTATCTACTCTTTCACAATGTCTTAATTACATAGGTTTATAATGTGTGTTAGGTGCTCAGTCTTGTCCAACTCTTTGCGATTCCATGGACTATAGCCCAGCAGACTCCTTTGTCTGTAGAATTCTCCAGGCACAGATATTGGGGTGGGTTGCCATTGCCTTTTTCTGTACAGGGTATATTCCTCCATTTGTTTAGATCTGTAACTTCTCTTGTAATTTATGTTTCATGGACTTCCCTGTAGCTCAGATGGTAAAGAATCTGCCTGCAATGCAGAAGACCTAGGTTCAACCCCTGGGTTGGGAAGATCCTCTGGAGAAAGGAATGACAATCCAGTATTCTTGCCTAGAGAATCCCATGGACAGAGGACTCTGGTAGGCTACAATCTGTGGGGTCACAAAGAGCTGTATACGACTGAGTGACTAGCACTACTACCATAATGTTTCATAGTTTAATTACATAGTTCTTGTGTATATATTTTGGTAGATTTAGCCCTGGATATTTGCAATTTTAGATGTTATTGTAAATGGTATCTTTTTTAAAGATGGTATCTTTTTATTTTCTATGTGTTTATTGCTGGTATGTAGAAATACAGTGGCTTTTTGCATGTCAGCCTTGTACCCTGTCATCTTGTTAAGTTCATTTAGGAGTTTTGACAGTTATTAGTAAGTTGTTTTGGGTTTTCTGTGTATACAGCCTATTGTCTATGAGCAGTGCAGTGTCTTTCCTTTCCCCTCCTTGTGCCTTTCATTTCTTTTTCTTGTCTTGTTACATTGGCAAGCATTACCAGCGAGGTGTGGAATGGACGTGGTGTGGGGGGGTAGCTTCACCTCCCTCTCAGTTCTGGGACTGGCTCTCCACTGTCCTCGGCCGATGACGTGTTTCCTTCATCCTGCTTTGGGGCGCTGCAGGCTGTGGCTCGTGGTTCTCTTTTTGGGCTCACTGGCAGCATGCTGTTTCTCCACCAGCCTGGCAGGCTGAGGCCACGGTGGAGAAGAGCATGGACTCTGAGCTGAGGTTGTTGCTTGTCCATGTGATGGGATGCAGAGGCTTGCAGAGAGTGGCAGAGCATGTCCTCTTTGTGGTTGCTTAATAAGATTTTTAAAAGAATGTTCTCTTAAGGATTTATAGTTTCTAAGACTTTTACCCTTTGGAAGGTTTATGGCTTATTTTGTGAAATTAGGTCAACTGAAATTTCCAAGGGCTGATGCAGGAGGGATGAACTATAGGTGATTCTAGATTCAAAGGGTTTGGTGAAGGAAATGTGAGCACACATAGGCAGTGGTGATGCGTTTGGTCTCATCTGTTTTGTATGGAGCAGAAATAAATAAAGAGATGTCTTCATATAAATACATGCATAGTGTCAGAGACTGCTTATTTGTGGATGATCATTCCTGTCTTTATAAAAGTGCTAGTGACTTTAAATTACATAGTCCTTGCTAGTGTTCATCTTCACAAATGTGGGCTTTAATTTATATGATAAATTAGGAAAGAATGAAATTATAAATGCAGTTGCTTTTGTAGTCATCACATGTTCAACATTTGTCTAATATTTACCAAAAATATATAATTCAGTTAGAGATATACATACCTAAATTTCAAATGTTATTCATGAATAGTTTTCACAAACCTTAAACTCCTCTAATTTTTGAGATCTTACTACCAGGTGTTATTTATGTGTGTGTGTGGTTTTTTTTTAGAAAAACAGTAATCTACTAGTTAGTAAAGTGTCATCAGACATTTACATCAAGATGAAAGGAACTGTTTCAACTTGAATTTTATTTTATGAAGAGGTTAAATTCCTAGTTTATTTTATTTTATTTTTTCCTAGTTTATTTTTATATTGTGAACCTTACATTGGGTTGTCCACCTGAAGCGATACTGATGCAGTGGGGCAGGGGCGGAGGAGAAATGTGGTTACGCCAGTGGGTCATGTTACTGGTGGGTTATCCTCTTAGACTTAATAGAAAAGGCTTGCTCTCCTTGCGTGGTGGGGTGGTTTGCTTCCTTTGTTAGGAGTTCAGTTTTCAGCTATTAAACAGTTTGCTCTTAACTTGTCATTTTCTCCTATGCCCTGGCATCTTCATGACAGTGAGTGGGGTCCTTATGTAGCCCAGGAATCCCGAGGGTTCACAGGCACCTCAGTCACCCACAGGGTCCTTATGTGACCCAGGACCCCGAGGGTTCACAGGCGCCTCAGTCACCCACAGGGTCCTCTTGTGACCCAGGAACCCTGAGGGTTCACAGGCGCCTCAGTCACCCACAGGGTCCTCTTGTGACCCAGGACCCCCGAGGGTTCACAGGCGCCTCAGTCACCCATGGGGTCCTCTTGTGACCCAGGACCCCGAGGGTTCACAGGCGCCTCAGTCACCCGCGGAGTCCTCTTGTGACCCAGGACACCGAGGGTTCACAGGTGCCTCAGTCACCTGCGGAGTCCTCTTGTGACCCAGGAACCCTGAGGGTTCACAGACGCTTCAGTCACCCACGGGGTCCTCTTGTGACCCAGGACCCCAAGGGTTCACAGGCACCTCAGTCACCCACAGGGTCCTCTTGTGACCCAGGACCCCGAGGGTTCACAGACGCCTCAGTCACCCGCGGGGTCTTCTTGTGACCCAGGACACCGAGGGTTCACAGACGCATCAGTCACCCACGGGGTCCTCTTGTGACCCAGGACCCCAAGGGTTCACAGGCGCCTCAGTCACCCACGGGGTCCTCTTGTGACCCAGGACCCCGAGGGTTCACAGGCGCCTCAGTCACCCGCGGGGTCTTCTTGTGACCCAGGACACCGAGGGTTCACAGACGCTTCAGTCACCCACGGGGTCCTCTTGTGACCCAGGAACCCTGAGGGTTCACAGGCGCCTCAGTCACCCACAGGGTCCTCTTGTGACCCAGGACCCCGAGGGTTCACAGGCGCCTCAGTCACCTGTTGCTTTTTCCTTGACAACACTCCTGGAGTAGGGTCCCCTCTGAGACAGTGGGCGTCCTGAGGTCCTAGATGCTTTTGCACGTCTACAGTCATTCACCTGCAATCACTGGCTCAATGGACCTGAGTTTGAGCAAGCTCCGGGAGTTGGTGATGGACAGGAGGCCTGGCGTGCTGCAGTCCCTGGGGTTGCAGAGAGTCGGACACAACTGACTGACTGAACCGTAACAATCTTCCACCTTAGACGTGGTCCTTAATTTTTCCCTTCATCTCCAGAAGGCAAAGCACTGTAGCTTCTGCAGTTTGATTTTGACCTCGGCTCCTTTTGAGGTGATTTCTGAGATGGAATCAGGAAAACCTTTCCAAAGTTCATTCGGTTCAGTCCATGTATATGTATGTGTGTGTGCGTGTGTGTGCGTGTGTGTACATATACACATCTCCATTGTTTCATGTAGGTGTGGGTGCATAAACAACACCAGCGACAGGAAAGAGCTTGGAAGGAATGGGCACAGTGATGGGAGTGATGGCTGGGGGGTGCACTGGGGAACACCCCTCTGGGGAGACACATTGGAGAGAAGTTGGGGGGCGAGCCCCACAGGCACGGGGCAGCAGAGGGAGTGGCCGGGACGGTCATGGCCACGTGGTGCACGGCCCTGGGGCTGACTGTCCACATGTGTGCAAAGGCCCGAAGGCAGCGCAGAGGGGTCTGCCTACCCCGGGGCCTTTGAACGCTGAGCCTTTCTTCCTGAAGCTTCTACAGTGAGCTCCACTGAAAACGCTCCAGTGAGCGCTGGTTCCCTCCAGCCCAGGGATTTTATAGGGAGACTGGAGAGGGTGGGAGACCGGTCCAGGGTCATGCCGCTCAGAGAGGGCGGGAGACCAGTCCAGGGTCGCACCACTCAGAGAGGGCAGGAGACCGGTCCAGGGTCGTGCCGCTCAGAGAGGGCGGGAGACCGGTCCAGGGTTGCGCCGCTCAGAGAGGGCGGGAGACCGGTCCAGGGTCGCACCACTCAGAGAGGGCAGGAGACCGGTCCAGGGTCCTGCCGCTTGCTGGGGGTGCTGGGCCGGACAGAGAGCAGCCCCCCGGCTCCAGGCAGGCGGGCGCTGTGCAGGGACACACGAGCGCCTGCTGGCTCCGCGGCACCTCCCGTGAGCGCAGGAGGCAGACACTAATCTGACAGGGGCGCCTATGGGGGCGAGTCAGGGAGCTGGGGAGGCCCAGCAGTGCTGCCTCTCGGGGGACCTGCCTCAGGCCCCCTGAGTGTGACGCTCGGGCCCCGTCCTGACCCCCCTCACAGCACCTCAGCCGGCCTCTGGGGAGTGACCCATCTCCCACTGGGTTCACTTTGGGGGGCTGCCAGTCACGGCCTCCAGTACTGGCCTGGCCAGGAGATGCACCTCAGGGCCGAGCCAACATGGGCCCCCTAGGAGTCAGGTCTCAGGCCGGGCTTCTGGGGACCGTCCCTCACATCCTGCCTCCAGATCTCCCCCTCCTAGGTTCTCCACATCCTACCAGGAGGCCTCTGTTTGTCCAGATCATCCAGGGGCCTTTCCTGTCGTCCGTGACCCGGAAGCCCTGGCAGGATGCCTTCGTCCTCACAGGCCTATGTCCTGGAACCTGAGTTCTTGCCTTGCTTTGCAGTCTAGAGAGAAGGGTTCACAGTCCAGGTGCCGGCATTGCGCCTGTCGGGTTCTAGAACTGGTTCCTCCGTCTCCTAGCTCCTAGCCCACAGTTCCAGACTCACTGCAGTTTGTCCTCCAACCTGGCTCCCACCCGGGGGCCCTGGTGCCACCTGCTCTGAGACGGGCGTAGCCAGCGGTGAGAAGGGGCTGACGTCCCTGGGCTGGCAGGGGCCGCGGGTGCCCACAGAGGACCCCTGGCCCGGGGGAGGTGTCCTCCAGAGAAGGAGGCCGCGTCTCCGTTCACACCGTCACCCTGGCGTGTCCTGGGCCCTCCCCCAAGTCCTGGTAGTGCTTCAGTGCCCTTCTGCTTCCCCCGAAACAGAGGGCATGGTGTTATGCAGAGTGCATTGTTTGTAAGAGAACTGGATTCTGAACATACCAGATCAAAGGAAACATCTCATGCAGTAATAGGGTTCCATGGGCCCACCCTTTCAAAATTGTGCAGCCACCTTTGGGCATTTCAGTGTGCGTAACAGGCTTTGCAGGGGAAGCCAGCCTGGCAGGGTGCCTGCTGGCAGTCACTGGGTCTGGGTGCTGCAGACTCGCTATATACTACTGTGTTTACTTCATGTAGGTTTGAATATTCCATAAGACCAAAGCTTTTTTTCTTTAAGCAAGAGAAGTTTATGATAAAACCCTGTAAAATGTTAAATTTAAAACATCAATATGAACATGTGTGTACTTTTTTTTTATGTTTAAAAAGTTTGTATATGTTACTCTTCATATGTCCAAAAAACAAACAGTTAAACCAACCCGGATGTGGGGGAAACCAAAGTGAAATACACATACTGGCAAAATGAGCCCAGTTCTAGCACAGGTACGTGAGCCACTGTGCTGAAGGGGTGCAGAAGAGCTGCCTAGGGTCACGGTGGGGCCTGGGCTCTGTGTCCTGACCACACGCTGCGAGGCTGGAGGCAAGAACTAGACCTTAATTCTGTCTCGTCACATGTGTGCCTCATGTGTGTGGGCCGGCTGTTCTGAAAGCATTTTATACTAGAATTGTGTCCTTGTGGTGAACAAGTAAGCAGATGGATTGTGACCAGTAAGAACCAGGTTTCTCATTGTTGGAGAAATAAGTGAAAATTTGGAAAGGAGGAGTCTAAACCCGGCCTGTGATGTTGGGTTGGATCTGAGGTGTCAATGTTAACTCGTGATGTAACCAGTATGCACCAGAATATGGATGTGTGGGTTTGCATCCAGCGTCTGTGTGCAGGGCGGGTCCTCCAGTGGCAGCGCCCGGCAGTAACCCGCGCCTCTGGCACCCAGCTCTCGCTGCCCACACGCAGTGCTCCAGGAAAGAGAGCCAGGGCTCTCCCGGGAGAAGTGGTTGGTTCCCAGGCTGTGACAGGGGCATCTTGTGGAACTGGAAAGTAAGGAAGTGCTAAAAAAAGATAAAAGATGGGGATGGGGGCTTGTCAGAAAAACATAGGAGCTTCCAGTGGCCAAAGCCTGAACAACAAAATAAATAATGGTGGTTTCAATGATCACGCACAGAATAAAATAAAAATCCATAATTTCATAGTGATGGAAATAGATGATTAAACAGAAAGATGGGCAAGTGACAGGTCTTCCTGGCAGTGGAATTCTGATTAACTGATATGTGCAGAAGAAGGGAGGGGAGTTAACCAAGACAGGGAGAGTTGCAAATGAGATGTGGTGGGTGTTGTAGCCACGAAGAAGCCCACGGTACTGATTCTGGTCCTCTCTCCTTGAGAGAGCTTTGATAGTTGGGGTCTTTTAGGGCATTTATTTATTTCATCCGAATTGTCAGATTTATTCACATAAAGTTGTTCATCATTTCCCCTTATCATCCATTTAGTATCTGTGTGGTCTATGGTTAATCCCCTGTTACTCTGGATTTTGTTGATTTGCTGCTGCTTTCTCTTATTTTTTCCTGATCTATTTAGCTAGGCTCAGATGGTAAAGACTCTGCCTATAATGCAGGAGACCTGAGTTTGATTCCTGGGTCAAGAAGCTCCCGTGGAAAAGGGAATGGCTACCCACTCCAGTATTCTTACCTGGAGAATACCATGGATAGACGACCCTGGTGGGCTATAATCCATGGGGTCACTAAGAGTCAGACACAACTGAGCATTTGACTTTCTCAAAGAATCAGCATTTAGTTTCATTGATTTTTATATTTTGTTGATTTCTGCTCTTTGCTGTTGTCTTTTTTTTCTGCTTATTTTGGGTATGACTTATCCTTTTTCTAGTTTCTTACAGAGAAACCTGAGGTCATTGATTTGAGACCTTCATCTCTGACACAGGTTTTCAGTGCAATAAATGTCCCTTTCAGCACTACATATTTTGACATGTTGTGTTTCATTTTTGTTCATTTCAAAATACTTCATGATTTATTTTACTTTTTTCTTTGACCCATAAAATATATTCTTTAGTTTTGGTTTTAGATATCTGGTTTATTATATCTGTTATTTAGATATTTGGTTTTCCAGATAACTTTCTGTTAATGATTTCTAATTTAATTTCATTTTAGTCAGAGGACGTTCTTTCTATATCTTGACTTGGGTGCTTTTAAACTTACGGAGATTTTTTGGATGGCCCCAAAGATGGTCTGTCTTGGTCAGTGTGTGTATTTAAAAACAATGTGGCGCATGTGTATTTTGCTGTTGTTCACAGTGTTCTGTAAATGTCATTCACATCAGGTTGGGTGATGGTGTTGTTCACATCTCCTCTGCTTTTACTAATTTTCTGTCCCTTGTTGTAATGACTGTCATGAACAGGGTGCTGAAGTTTACACCTATGGATTTGTCCACTTCTTATACTTTCTCCCTTTGCTGTCCTTTGCTTCATGTGTGAAGCTCTGGTATCAGGTGCATACGTGTTTAGGGATGTTGTGTCCTTTTGGTGAGTTGACCCCTTGATCATTATGAAATGGCCTTCTTTGTCCTTGGTGATAGTCTTTCTTAACATTTACTTTGAGTAAATGTTAGCCATTACAGACTTCTTTTGAGGAGTATTACCATGCTATATCTTTTTCCATCTTTTACTTTTAACATGTTTGTGTCTTTATAAATAAAACCCGTTCCTTGTAGGCAGATATAGTTGGGGCCACGCATCTTGGGGAAGATTTGTTTTACAATGAAATGCATGACCTCTTCTCCCCAGACCATTTTCATTTCTCCCCCACACAATTCCTCTTTGTACTCCCGAAGCAGGGTCTGGCTGTTTTATCCACTCTGACAGCATCTGCCTTTTAAATTGGGGGTGTTTAGACCGTTTGATCTGGTCACTGATATCATTTGGTTTAAAGCGACCATCTTGCTTTATGTTTTCTGTTCTCTTTTACTCTTTTTCTGCCTTCATTTGGCTGGAGCATTTTTATGATTGTATTATATTTTCCTTATTGCCTTGTTAGTTACTTGTTGACTAGTTGGTTAATCATTTTTTAAGTGGGGGTTTAGGATTTGTGGTCTACATTTCAGCCCCCCATGGTCTTATCTTCAAGGCTCGTGTAACAGCATACAGCAGCGTACCTCTCTTCCTCCACTCCTAGTCTTTGTGTTGTTTTTAACATGTTTTCTTAGTACATGTGCTATAAACTCCTTAATACATTGTTATTTTTGCATTAAGCTGTTCTCTTTAGAAGAGATTCAGCATCAGAGAAGAATCATTTATACTTACATGTACAGTTCTCATTTCTGAAACTCCTCTCTTCTCTCTGTGGATCTGTGTTTCCATCTGGCACTATTTTCATTTTGCCTTTGAGATTTCTTTTAGTGGAGGTCTGCTGGTGATGCATATTTTCAACTTTTGAATATGTGAAAACATCTGTATTTCACCTTTGTTTTTGAAAGATTTTTTCATGGGGAGCAGCATCCAAGGCAGGAGGTGTGTGTGTGTGTGTGTGCATGTGTGTGTGTGCATGCATGCACGTGTGCGGGAGTGTCCCACGGAAAGGTGTTGCTCCATTGTCTTCTGGCTTTCATTCTTTCCACTGAGAAATCTGCTGTTCCTCTTACTTTTTTTTTCTGTCTGTCATGTGACTTTTCCTTCCCAACTGCTTTTAGGACATTATCTTAAAACTGGCTTTAAGTAATTTAATTATGTTCTGGCCTGGTGTAATCTTCATAGCATGTTTGTGCTTGGAATTGATTGAACTTTTTGGATCGATGGGTTTATGAAAGTGAAAGTGTTAGTCGCTCAGTCTTGTGCAGCTCTCTGTGACTCTGTGGGCTGTTGTTCGCCAGGCCCTGTATCCATGGCATTTTGCAAGCAAGAATACTGGAGTGGGCAGCCATACCCTTCTCCGGGGGATCTTTCTGACCCAGGGACTGGACCTGGGTCTCCTTCATTGCAGGCGGATTCTTTGCTGTTTGAGCCACCATGGAATCCCTGTGGGTTTATAGTTTTCTTCACATTTGGGAGGTTTTGAGCCATTGTTTCTTTAAACCGTTTTCCGTGCCCACCCTGCACTGCTGTGTGAACACTCAGTCCCCTGGGACGACTGGGCAGCTCATCAGGAGTGCATCTCCCCAAGGGTCCCAGGCCTGATGTCAGTGTCTGGAAACCGCAGTTGCACAAGTTTTGTCTTTTGTAGGTGCTTCGTGTGGGAGACTAAATCTGGTCTGTATTATTCTATTTTGACTAGGAGCGGACTTCTGATGGTGCCCAAGGAAGCTGTCCAAACTTTATTAGAAGCTCTTGGTTTAGAGTAAATAACGGCCATATCGATAGCTTACTCCTTGGAAGGAAAGTTATGACCAACCTAGATAGCATATTAAAAAGCAGAGACATTACTTTGCCAACAAAGGTCCATCTGGTCAAGGTATGGTTTTTCCAGTGGTCATGTATGGATGTGAGAGTTGGACTGTGAAGAAAGCTGAGCACCGAAGAATTGATGCTTTTGAACTGTGGTGTTGGAGAAGACTCTTGAGAGTCCCTTGGACTGCAAGGAGATCCAACCAGTCCATCCTGAAGGAGATGAGTCCTGGGTGTTCATTGGAAGGACTGATGTTGAAGCTGAAACTCCAATACTTTGGCCACCTCATGAGAAGAGTTGACTCGTTGGAAAAGACCCTGATGCTGGGAGGGATTGGGAGCAGGAGGAGAAGGGGATGACAGAGGATGAGACGGCTGGATGGCATCACCGACTCGATGGGCATGAGTTTGAGTAAA